TCTCTTTTAAGAGGGAGAGAACTTGTTTATATCTTTCCATTCATTTCATTATTCTATTTGACATAATTAAATATTCCAATAAATATGGTTTGAAATGTAATTAGCCTATTGCTATAATTCATCTAAAATCTCTAGTTTTGCCTTTTATTGCTCTTTTCTTCATTCTATTTTATTGCTTCATTGATTCCAGTGGGAAGACTTTTTTCTCTTAGGTAGAGAAAAGTACAATTGTTTTGTCATCTTTTTATCATCTGCTAGCAGTAGACCATCTGTTCAAAACAGAGGTTTCTCCTTTTTAATTTTTATCAAAAACATAGTTAAAATCAAGCTCTTTTAGCTTCTGCCATTCTTTACAAGTCTTAGTTAATTCCAGATTTTAACACTGCTGAGAGTGAACTCAGGGTATCGTAGTACTCTCATGCTTTCATTCTTGGGTCCGGACTTCCCTTTTCCTCTTTCGTAGCTGCCATGTAAAGCTGAATCCACATAAGCAAATGCCCTCTGTGCTTTCTCAGATACCACATACATTTTTCCTCATATGCGTTCATATACTCAATGTTTAATATAGAAAAATTCTCTCTTTAGAATTACAGCATCTTTCTGGAATCTAAACATGGGATCATGTCTTTCTCTGATAGGCACCACATTGTATAAATTAATTTCTGGGTGTATTATATATCTGTATGGTCATTTTGTTTAAGTCTATTTCTCAAACTGAACTGTAATTCCATGAGGGCAGAAAACAAGACACTTCTTCTTACCGTAATTTTCTCAGCAATCACACAGGGTCCAGTATACAAAAGACATTCAGTGAGAATTCATTGAATGCAATTGCTTAATAAATATTAGCTTTGAGTGTTTGTTTGCCCTGAGCTCACATGCTTGAGCCTTTTGCACACTGACAAAGGCCTGGCAGCAGTACACAGTAGTTGGTTTCTTTCATATGAATCAGAGGAGGTTTGAACAAACTGGCACCAGAATTGTTTTCTTTCTCATTCTTCTCCTGCTAAATCTCTGTTTTCATAAACCTCTAGTCTCAGGACAAGGTCAAACTATGCCTCTGTTTTATTACATATTCATTTTCTCAACCCATTTTCCAACAAAGCCAAAGCAGCAAAATACAAAGCACATTATCAGCTCATGTTTGACCGAATGGCTTCAGCCAAGGTCCAGTAATATAGTCCACCAATCTCTGGGAATTTTTCAGAAAGACGCAAATGCCACTGACATATAATAATGCATCTGTAGCAGGCTGGACAGAGGAGAAGAGGTGGTGCTACCATGACTAGTTGACTAGGATAGACAATTTAAGGTTCTCTTGTTATTCTAGATTATTTTGAATGAGGAATATTTTTTAAAATGAATGAGGCACAAATGAAAAATACTGCTGAATATAATTTTAAAGTTATTTCAATAGATTTCAAATAACATGTAGAAGAAATTGACATTTAATACAGAAGAATTGGAGATGAAGTAAAGATATTGACTTTTGAACTACATAAATTGTATTTGCAGTGTAGTTTGAACTTAAGACTAGGTTCAAGGTTTGTCAAAAATAGTGAGATGAGCTTCACATCCCAAACATTATACTGAATAAAAATCTCCAAAATTACACAGTTGAGTTCCAATAAAAAGATATCCTATGAGCCAGGGGTAACAGGACACTGAAGACTTCAAGGCCAGGGTCAGGAGGTTCTCACCTGTGTTGAAGGCTCAGAGTCCAACTCAGGGACTGGCTTTGGGCTCTGTTAGCCCATGAAGGCCACTCTCCCTGGTATACTCTCCTTATCCCTAAATCTTCAGTAAAGTGTCTTCAAAAGCCACACATTTACCTTTGCCCTGCTACAGAGAATAGGGAAAACAATGCCTCCTCTCTGAGGCAAGGGCAGAACTATGGGGCTGTCTCCAGCAGAGGACAGCATAGCACTGGTGTCAGCTGAGCTATGGTCACCTTAGTAGACTGAAAACCGAGATGTAGCCACAGAGAAGAGAAACCCACAGGTGACCATGGGCAGAGTGCAAGGCACCTTGAAAGGAGGGTGTATTCTCATAATTTTGCCATGTAGAGTTCATGCCATATTAGTAAAAGACGGAAGAAAGTAATTTCTTTATTTTGAAGTCACTAACATGGGAGTTATATAACCCACAATGCTAGACTAGAAAGAGTGTTAGCATCCTTCTGCTTTATAGAGGGTGAACCTAAGTACCATAAAGCTTCCTGTATGTGATGCAAAAGTGAATGCCATGACCTAGTATGGTATGGCTGTATCCCCACCCAAATCTCATCTTGAATTGTGGCTCCCATAATTCTGTGTTGTGTAAGGGACCCAGTGGGAGATAAATGAATCATGGGGGCGGTTTTGCCCATAATATTCTCATGGTAGTAAGTCCCATGAGATCTTATGATTTTATAAAGTGAAACCCGTTTAGCTTAGTTCTCATTCTGTCTTGCCCACTACCATGTAAGAAGTCCCTTTGCTCTTCTTTCATCTTCTGCCATGATTGTGAGGCCTTCCCAGCCATTTGTAACTATGAGTCCATTAAACCTCTATCCTTTCTAAATTACCTAGTCTGGGGTATGTCTTTATTAGCAGCATGAGAACTGATGAACACACCCAGGAATCTAGCTTCATGTCCAAAGTCATTTCTCCACACTGGGTTCTTTCAAGCTAAATGTTTGATTGCAGGGATTCTATGGGGACTCAGCATGGCACGTGAAGAAACAGGGCTCTGGAGCCAGCTAGTCTTAACTTAAATCCAGGACCTGCCCCTTGCTAAAAGTGATCCCGTGCCTCAGTTTCCTCAGCTGTAAAAAGGGGATAATCAATAATACCAAAGCCATATGGATATTGAAAAGGTTAAATGAGCTGATACATGTACAGTACTTAGATATGAAGATCATTATGTGTGCAGAAAATGCTAAAAACTATCACTAGTAATGATTTGGCTCCAACAAACCTTTCCTGCCTCTCCTCCCACTGTTTTCTCCCCCTACCACCCAGTGTTTTGCCATGTTGACCTTCCTGCCATTTGTAGAAAACCTAGGTTTTCCATGCTTACATGTCTTAATGAGTGCTATTTTCTCTGCTGGAAATGACTTTCTGCTTCCTTATGCATATCTTTTTCCTGAGGTAAAGTCCATCTTTGTCCATCTTTACTTCATAGCCTTCCTCTAACCCTATCTCCTAACCCCAGCATCACGGTTCAGTGCTCCGGTCCATCTGTTCCTACCTACGCCTCATAAATTCTGCATCAAGCATGTTCAAGTTTAGATGGAGATTATAATGTTGTGTCTTTGGTCCCAATGACTGTGATCTTGAGGGTAGGGACTATATTTTTGTGGCATTAGTATCTTGTTCATTATTTGCCAATAAATGCCTATTTCAAAATTATAAATAAAGGCTTCCCAGGATACCCTTTCTAAATTGCTGGTACATTGCCCACACACCTGGACAGACAGACACCAACACAGATACACACACACACACACACACACACACACACACTCTGCCCCGTGCTGGCCTGAATTTTCCGCTCAAGATTGATTAGCATTTAACATACTATTACTTTATTTATTCATCTTGTTTATTACAGTAACATATGTTAAAGCTTAGAACTCTGATGGCAAACAATACTTAGTAAAATTTTCTCATTGTTATTAATATTATTAGTTGCTCCGTCATTTTGAATAATGGTATTATTTGTATTCACTGTCTTTGTTATTATTACTAATATTATCATAATTATTATCACTGTGCTCTTGTTATTCTAAATGGTCAAAAGAAAGTAGACCATTCCAAAAGAAAGTAGATCATTCCTTGCTTTATGAAGTCCTGTTTATGGAAGTAAAATTGGTATATTTTGCTTGTAAAATATAGTTAACCTATTACTTTTTTACATATAGATTTCTTACTTTCAAGTGTATGATTTGGAAGAATGCGAAACTAGGAACCAGATAACCCAGATTTTGCTAGTTCTGTGACCTGGAGCAAGCTCCTTCACTTATCTTTAAAATAAGTGCTAGGGAGAATGCAGAGAAGCTTTTGTGTGTTGACTCCAAAGGCAGCTGTTGCCGTTACTATTGAGGCTGGTTGCACCTGAAGCATCCTTGTCATACTCCTACAGAGCAGCAAGTTTCCGCTGGTCACAGTCAGCATGCAAGCTATAACCTACCAGTCATGCTGGAATGACCCCTGATCCCTTTCTGTTTCATCGCTGGCTTTTTTTACAGATGAAGAACACAAAGATGTGTGCCCTTGTTCCCACTGTGCCCACAGGATTCTACTCACAAGTTCTCACTGGATTCTCCTAAAATATATTTTGGCTCAGTCCTTACCCTAAAGCTGCCTGTAGAGAACTTACTAGTCAGTGTGCTGCAAGCCTGAAGGGAAATTTCACGTGTATCTCCACCTCTGGTATATTACATCCTAGAGGAAAAAATAAAGTTTTCTGTTCTTGTTTTTATAGACCAAGAGGCATATCAGTTCCCTCATGGGCTATCATATGGTCAAGACGGTTTTCCTTATGGAAAAGCAATACTTGTGTTTTACCTTTCTCTACACAGTCAGAGTAGATATTGTTTGTTTTTTTGAAAACTCAAGCCTGTGTCATGGAGATGTGAAGATTAATGAGCTAATGCTTATGAAGTACTCTCCTTTGCCTTGGAAAAAAAATCAAAAGAACAATTCACTGAAACCCCTTCAATTGAGTAGATCTGTTCTGAGCCACTCATCAGAGCTCAACCCCAGCACAGAGATTCTTGAAAGCTTGTCAAACAACTCGCAATTTATTTTTGAATATGGAGATAAAGTTAGATTTATCTCCATATTCAAAATAGGGAATAATGAGCTTTCTCTTTAGTTCTTATTTTTAGTTTTAAATGTGCATCCTTACAAGATTTCTTACTGTTTGGTGCAAATAATGAATGATGGGGAAATGGAAGGTATGGTGTGATCAGCCTGCAGGCCAGGAACACTAACTGCCACCACCACCAACAAAACAATAAGCAATATCATTTGACCCGGTGATCCCGTTACTGGGTATATACCCAAAGAATTATAAATTATTCTGTTATAAAGACACGTGCACCCGTATTTTCATTGTGGCACTGTTTACAATCGCAAAGACCTGGAACCAACCAAAATGTCCATCAACAATAGACTGGATAAAGAAAATGTGGCACATATACACCATGGAATACTACACAGCCATTAAAAATGACTTTTTGTCCTTCCTAGGGACATGGATGAATCTGGAAACCATCATTCTCAGCAAACTGACACAAGAACAGAAAACAAAACACCACATGTTCTCACTCATAGGCGGGTGTTGAACAATTAGAACATGTGGACACAGGGAGGGGAGCATCATATACTAGGGTCATTTGGAGGGGCTAGGGGAGGGACAGCTGAGGGTGGGGAGGGATAATGAGGGGAGAAATACCAGATATAGGTGATGGGGGGATGAAGGCAGCAAACCACCTTGCCATGTATGTACCTATGCAACAATCCTGCATGATCTGCACATGTACCCCAGAATCTAAATTCCAATTAAAAAAAAAAAAGAAAAAGAAAAAAAACAAAACAATAAGCAAGGCAGGTGGTGGGATGCCTCCAGCTTTTTTTTTTTTTTTTTTTTTGGCTGGCTTAGGATCGTCTTGGCTCTGCAGGATCTTTTTAAGTTCCGTATGAAGTTTAAGGTAGTTTTTTCCAATTCTGTGAAGAAAGTCATTGGTAGCTTGATGGGGATAGCACTGAATCTATACATTACTTTGGGAAGTATGGCCATTTTCACTATATTGATTCTTCCTAATCATTAGCATGGAATGTTTTTCCATCTATTCATGTCCTCTCTTATTTCCTTGAGTAGTGGTTTGTAGCTCTCCTTAAAGAGGCACTTCACATCCCTTGTTAATTGTATTCCTAGGGTATTTTTTTTTGTAGCAATTGTAAATGGGAGTTCACTCATTATTTGGCTCTCTATTTGTCCATTATTGGTGTATAGGAATGCTTGCGATTTTTGCACACTGATTTTGTATCTTGAGGCTTTGCTGAAGTTGCTTATCAGCTTAAGGAGACTTTGGGCTGAGACAATGGGGTTTTCTAAATATACAATCATGTCATCTGCAAACAGAGACAATTTGATGTCCTGTTTTCCCATTCAAATACTCTTTATATCTTTCTCTTGCCTGTTGGCCCTAGCCAGAACTTCCAATACTATGTTGAATAGGAGTGGTGAGACAGGGCATCCTTGTCTTGTGTCAGTTTTCAAAGGGAATGCTTCCAGTTTTTGTCCATTCACTGTAAGATTGGCTGTGAGGCTGTCATAAATAGCTCTTACAATTTTGAGATACAATCCATGACGCCTAGTTTATTGAGAGTTTTTAGCATAAATGGCTGTTGAATTTTGGCAGAGACCTTCTCTGCATCTATTGAGATAATCATGTGGTTTTTGTCATTGGTTCTGTTTATGTGATGGATTGTGTTTAGAGATTTGCAGATGTTGAACCAGCCTTGCATCCCTAGGATGAAGCTGACTTGATCAGGACGGATGAGCTTTTTGATGTGCTATTGGATTTGGTTTGCCTGACTTCAAACTATATTGTAAGGCTATGGTCATCAAAACAGCACAGTACTGGTACCAAAACAGAGATATAGATCAATGGAACAGAACAGGGGCCTCAGAAAGAACACCACACAACTACACCATCTGATCTTTGACAAACCTGACAAAAACAGCAATGGGGAAAGAATTCCCTATTTAATAAATGGTGTTGGGAAAACTGGCTAGCCATGGACAGAAAGCTGAAACTGTATGCCTTCCTTAAACCTTATATAAAAATTAACTCCAGATGGATTAAAGATTTAAACACGATGCCTAACACCATAAAAACTCTAGAAGAAAACCTAGGCAATACCATTTAGGACACAGGTATGGGCAAGGACTTCATGACTGAAACACCAAAAGCAATGGTAACAAAAGCCAAAATAGACAAATGAGATCTAATTAAACTTAAGAACTTTTGCACAGCAAAACAAACTATCAATAGAATGAACTGGCAACCAACAGAATGGGACAAAAATTTTGCATTCTGCCCATTTGACAAAGGGCTACTATCTAGAATCTACAGAGAACTGAAAAAAATATACAAGCAAAGAACAACCCCATCAAAAAATGGGCATAGGATATGAACAGACATTTTTTCAAAAGAAGACATTTATACAGCCAACAAACATATGAAAAAAGCTCATCATCACTGGTCATTAGAGAAATGCAAATCAAAACCACGTTGAGATATCACCTCACACCAGTTAGAATAGCGATCATTAAAAAATCAGGAGACAACAGATGCTGGAGAGGATGCGAAGAAATAGAAACATTTTTACACGGTTGGTGGGAGTGTAAATTAATTCAACGATTTTGGAAGACAGTGTGGTCATTCCTTAAGGATCTAGAAACAGAAATACCATTTGACCCAGCAATCCCATTACTGGATATATACCCAAAGGATTATAAATTGTTTTATTATAAAGACACATGCACACATATATTTATTGTGGCACTGTTCACAATGGCAAAGACTTGGAACCAACCCAAATGCCCATCAATGATAGACTGGATAAAGAAGATGTGGCACATATACACCACGGAATGCTATATAACCATACAGAAGGATGAGTTAATGTCCTTTGCAGGGACATGGATGAAACTGGAAACCATCATTCTGAGCAAACAGACATAAGAACAGAAAACCAAGCACCGCATGTTCTCATTCATAAGTGGCTGTTGAACAATGAGAACACAGGAACACAGGGAAGGGAACAGCACACACCGGGGCTTCGGGGATGGGGGGATTGGGGAGGGATAGCATTAGGAGAAATAACTAAAGTAGATGATGGGGCAATGGGTGCAGCAAAGCCCCACCATGGCATGTGTATACCTATGTAAGAAACCTGCATGATTTGCACATGTACCCCAGAACTTAAAGTATAATAATAATTTAAAAATAAGTAAATATTTTACTTTTTTCATGATAGAACTATGTTTACTTCATGAGTCCAGAAAAATACAGCAAGGAAAGCTTTTCTTAAAGAAACTTTTGGTAGCTTTGTAAAAATCTCTGAGTTATAAACTGCTTTACTGAATTCAGTGAATCCTCACTTTTCCCTCAAATTACATTTAGTGGGCACATCTGTTACATAATGTATTGTGATTATGCTTAACTGTGGAAATTATTTACAGAAAGCCTTTCACATCTCTTGAAGAGGCTGCCTCGTGGAGAAACTATGTGAATTAGTTACAGTTTATAGCTGCTACAGGAGCACTAATGCATGAGTGTGATTATCACAGCTCTGGAGCTGGATGCTTGAAGCTCTGATGAGAAAAGTTCCCCAAGGGAGTTGTGGTCCCATAGGAAACCCAATCTAACATAGTTTTTATCCTGTGCTACTTAATCCAGCTGAATCACATGTAACTTCCTGGGTCCCCTTTCTACCATATTCCCCTTTCCAATGTAAATAGTTACAAACACAATCACGGGACTGCCAAAATGCACTGTGACATTTGTAATAGAAGAGTCAAAGATTCTTGGGGGAAAAACTGTCATCATACACACACACACACACACACGGCTGTATGCCCTATAATGACATTTTGGTCAATGATAGACTGTATGTATTATGGCAGTCCCATAAGATTATAATGTAGCTGAAAAATTCCTCTTGCCTAGTGAGGTCAAGGCTATTGCAGTGTCATAGAGCATCATATTACATGTTTGAGGTGATATTGGTGTAAACAAACCTGTGCTGCCAGTCCTCTAAAAGTACGGAACACACAATTATGTACAGTACATAATACTTGATAATAAACAGCTGTGTTACTGGTTAATGTATTTACTGTAGTTTTCATCATGTTTATACTGTGCTCCTTCTAATGAAAAAAGTTAACTGAGTAAGTTTATCCATCCAATGGTTTACAGAAAAAGGAGAAGGAACACAGATGGATAACTAGCAATAACAGGTAACATGCTTGCAAATAGAGAAGAACAAAGACCTCTGAGTGCAAAAGAGGATATAGGGTGCTTTTGTTTGAAAAAAAAAAAAAGAGGAAAATTTAATAAAAGAGGTGACACTTGAGCTGGACCTTGGATAAAGAATGGAATTCAATGATGGAAATGCAATCAAGGTCCTTTACTCAATGAGCAGCAAGGATAAAGGTATGGAGACAGAAACCTTCTCTACATTGAAAACTTGTTTGGGTGAAATATAAGAATATTGGGAGACAAGGTAGAGTCATTGTTTTTAAAACTACCCTCATGTTTCTTACCTGTAAGATAAAGATAATTGTGCCTCTTTAGGAGGTTGTTATGAGGATCAAAGGAGTCGATGCATGTAAATTGCTTGATTTCAAACACACAGAAAGCACTCAACAAATGAAAAAACCTAAGGAGAAAAAGCCCTCCACTGCTACTGCATTGTGAATTTTTGTAAATCTTCCACAGAACTTGAAAGAAAATACTTTCTCTGTTTATATGAAATTATAGTCAATTTACATCAATTAGATAACCCTTACTGTGTTGTTTTGTCCTGCTCTGTGTTTACTGAGTTGATCAATTGTGGTCTAGAACAGGTGTTGGCAGACTACAAACAGTAGAAAGACACACCTGAAGCCCATTTTTGTATATAAAGTTTTATTGGTACCGAGATACAAATGCTTATTTATAGAATATCTCTGATGGACTTGCATGTTTGTAATAGAAACTCTATGGCCATCAAAGTCTAAAGTATTTACCATCTGGCCCCTTTTACAGAAAAGTTTCCTGACTCCTGGTCTAGAAAGAAACAAAATTTTCTTACTGCTATTTATTTCAATCAATTTGTTTTTGTATTTACAGCAATTTGTAGTACTTGTATTTGAGTTTATTATCTCATGCTTAAAAATTCATTGTGGCATTCACTTTTCATTTTAAAATGACATTATTTATCTAAGTTACTTATATTTTGCAATAATATTTAACCTTGCCTGATGTCTGTATTGTCAGCTCCTGATTTCCTTGTTTGCATCTCTCAAGATACATCTTCACTTATATATTTTTCTACATATTTTTAAAAATTTAATGTGACATAAGGTGAATTTATATCCCATTT